CAAGAGAAGACAAACAACCACAAGCAATATGATAGTAAGGCAGCAAGTAATTCAACCAAACAAATATAACAAGACAATAATAAACCAATCACACAAGACACCAAGATTTACGTGGAAAACCCTTCGATGTGAAGAGTAAAAAACCACGGGACCAAAAGCTCCACTATAATCACCAAGAGTTAAAATATTTTTCTCCAAAATTGTCCATAAAACAAGTGCCAAACAACGAGAAACAACAAAATAAGATTGCACCAAATCTAGAGAATTAAAGGAGCAAAATCACCAATTTCACAACTATTGTTCACGACCTCAAAACTGAAGCTGCAGGCCACCAAATCCAATTCTGTTAGTTCCTCATCAAAGATTAAGATGAAGACAATATACTGTCTAAAAATCAGCTCAATCGGACAAGAAACGAAGCGGGAATCGCAATTTGAAGTTGGCTGTTAGGGCTGAATTTTGACTGCGAAAACTGCTCTTTTTCTCTCATTTTGGCTGCTGAAAAAACTCTCTGTATATATGAAAATAAGCACTAAATAGGCTTATATTTGCCTCATAAGAATGGGCCTATGGGCAAAAATGGGTTGGTCCAAATTGAGTTTTTATTTATCCACATAGGAAGGGAAAGAGGCCCATAACCCAACATTTATTTCTTTTTTATATTTAGACCATTTTATTTCTTTTAATTTTTTTAATTGTTTCCTATCAACATGTGTTGTTTTTATTTCTTATTATGTATAGATTATTTTCTTCCTTTTTATATACTTACCGTTTTGATTAATTTATGCAAATATGAATATTTTTTTAAAATTAGAAATTGATTGTATATTTTTTAATGGTACATATGTTAATAAAATATTAGCATTATATATTATTCAATATATTGCACATTTTATTAGCATTATTATTGTTTTATAAATAATATATATTAATGATTTACAACAAGTTTAATATTAAATAGTTTATAAGTCATGTATTGTAATCTCTGAACCCTACATAACTAATACATGCATAACTAAATACTGTATAACTAATATATGTATAACTAAACCCTGCATAGCTAATACCTGCATAACTCTAACCACTACCAAACAACCCCTAATTGTCTTGAGTTTGGACACTCTTTAATTTTAAATTTTAATATTATATTATATTTTTTTAATTAATTTTTATTGATCCACAGGCCGACCCTATCGATATTTCTCAAGTCCCACAAATCAGCAGACTTATTCAGGCGAGTTAAAAAACTCTTTTCTTAAATGGATTCCAAAAGTCTTAACCTAACTCTATTAAATTTCGAGTTACGTCAAGTCAGTCTAACGGGCCTAGCCCATATTAACGGCTCTCATCTCTCTATAATTGAAGAATAGAGAGTTAAACAGAGATTTTACTTTTAGATTATTATAATATTATTCTATTCTATTATTAATTTAATCTTTATCATTTGTAATTATTTTCTAATGCAATGTAACATTTAACAAGTTACTACTTCCGCTAAATTAATCATTTAAAAAAAAAGAAATTGTCACTTTAAATGTGTACCTTAAAGTTATTTTAATATTATATATTATATAAATTATTAATTAAGTCTCAAATATTTGTAATTATTTTCTAACTAATATAATATCTTAAACATATTATTGATTTTTAATTTTTTTTGGTCATTTTAAATATATAATTTAGATTATAATTATTTTTCACTATATAACAATCTACTTTTTATGTTAAAGTAATAAATTATTAAACTATACTTTTTAAATAGCATGAAAATATTTGATTCAATAGTTCAAAATGGAATATGGGAAGTAAATTAGTACACGAATAATCAGATACAAGATGAGATTGTTAATTTATACAATTTTTAGCTACACATAAAAAATAAGGACAAAAATGCTCATTTTGAATTCTGTAATACATTAAGAGAGCATTCATAAGAGTAACATAATAGTCTTGAAAGTTGAGTATTCATGTAAAATTTAAAATAAATTTTATGATAATACAATATTTATGATGCAATTATGTTTCATCAATGATTTCACTTTTATTTGAATGTTTACTGATATCTATTATATATAATATTTACGCAATTTATGTTATTTAGAATAAAATATAATTTTATAATGAAGAATTTGAAAAAAATAAAATTTTGTATTACATAAAGATTTTAGAGTTATTATATTCATAAAGGAGAATTGATTTATATTATGAAATAAGAAAATAAGAATGAAATATGAATAATAATATACTATTGAGGAGAGAGAAAAATAATTCTTTTTTATAGAATAAAATAGAGAATCAAATTGGAGTTGATTGTCTAAAAAAATAGAGAGCTCTGTATTTAGAGAGTAAAACAGAGAATAGGGTTGGAGATGCCCTTAGGGTTTATAATCGAATAAGAGGTAATGCAAAAAACTTGTCTGGAAAAGTTGAATCAATTTTTGGGACAAGTTTAGGAAGCATGGTCATACACTCTCAAGTTTTACATTTTTATAATAGTGTTGCTATTTAGCATTTTATTTTTTTTGAAACTGATGTCATGATTAGGGGTAAATACACAACATAAACCTTTTGGCTTCAAGAACTATTTAAATTTTCCTTCAAGAAACAAAATGATCTTTAACTTCTCTTTTTTTTATTTTCTTTCAATGTCTTTATTCCACTCAATTTATCCTTGTTTATCCATTTCATCTGTCATTCTGATTCTAAATTTTTTATCCATTTATTGATCAATTTATAAATAGAAATTATGTAACATTAACAAATGATCTCAATAATCAAAATAGTCAATTAACTCAAGTACGGAATAATTTTTGAAATTAAGTAGTGATGATGATAGTTTGTTGTCCCAAAATGAAGAACATGAGATGTTGGATAGAGTGATGGCCCTGATGTATATTTGAATAGTGATGATGATCTTCTGAACTTGCTTCACCAAGAGATCTCAGAATAAGACAAATCAATTAATTAATGTTTCGGGCAGAGAGGAATATTACTTTGAGGATGAATATGATGAACATCAATATTTCATGAATAATGTTAATTTTTCAGAACTACAATAAATTGAAGGTCCGTTGTAGGTATGGTCGTTGACAATGCTAAATCTCTTTTCATATTTTATAAAGAACATAGTCGCCTAAGTGGTTTTGGTTTTGTTAAAAAAAGAAAGGTGGTGGATATGTTAGGTATTATTCATTAGCTTGCGGTAGCATTAGAAAATCAATTCATAGGAATTCAAGTAAAAGGGCTGATTGCAAAATCAGAATTAATTGCACACTGTTACCTAATAGTTCATGTCGTGTTACAATAGTTGTGTTTAAGCACATTCATAGATTAGAACCTTGTTTGTCACTTGTTGTGGCTACCACAGAAAGCTAAGTCGGACATTGAAGAGAATTCTTGAAGCACATGACATCGTATGAATAAGACCATAAAAATCACAAGACTTTTGTGTTAGTTCGAATATGAGTTGAGATGATAGATTGAACTTGATATGAAGTTTTGATGATTTAACAAATTTATCGATCTAACAAGGAACCATATCCTTGTTATTGGAACTGCTGACAGTGAGATAAATGATAAACTCAGTGTGAGATATATTTGTATGCTATCATCAAAAAGGGGAAAATGTTATATTCTAGGTGTTTTGATGACCTCACAAATGCGGGGACTTGGTCCCTGGTAGAGTGCTGTCATCCAGATACAAATAAGGTACAGGTGTAAAAGCTGTCATGTTAGGTGGTAGGTGAAAAGTGCAGTGTCCTAGACCAATAAGAAGAGGAGATGAGATTGTCTGTTTCAGTATCTCACAAATGCAGGGACCTGGTCCCAAGAAGAGTTTCCTCCATCAAATACATAATTGGTTACAGCTGTAAAACTGTCACGTCATAGGTTGGTGAAGCGTCATCGTACTACACCAATCAGAATGGAGGAGGGTGTTTGTCCAACGGATAATAAATCTTTATGTTTGATATTTTTAGCATGACAAACACGATATTATATTCGTTCATCCAAAGAAGGAAGTAAGCTAACAAGCCTTTTCAAGATCTCACGAAGAAGTTCGCATGGTACCTGGTCCCCGCAAGACTGTGACGTGAAAAGATGAAAAGACAACTGTCAGAAAAGCTACCACCTCTGATGGGGTAGGTGAACAACTTTTCCAACAACAGGTCTTCAGCCAATAAGATGGCTTCAACGAATTTGTGGAAAAATATATTATCTCTTTTCAACAAACACAAATTCAAGTTTTGGCAAACAAAGTGTTGGATTTCGGAAAATCCAAAAATCTCAAAAAGCAAAGGCCATCTTCAAGAAGGATCATCCTAAAAGCAACAGAGAGAGCTGCAAGTTACCTAGTTGTCTTAGCATTATCTCTTCCATGCTTACATTGTAAATTTGTTCCTAATCTATAAAGGAGTCAGATTCCTTGGTTTGTTGAAAAGTCTATGTTAGTTGAGTCAAACTAATTTAGTGGGCAACCTTGTGTGTTGCTTAGTAAAAATCCTAAGTCATCCGGAGTGTGATGATTTAGTGAGCAACCTGTGTGTTGCTTAGTTGAATCCTAAGTTGTCTAGTGGTGATAAATTAGTGGCAGAGTAAAATTTGCTTAGGTTCTTCAAGCAGTAGAGTTATTGCTTGGTTGTGAGATTAATATCTCACGTTATTGTAATCGGATTTCACTTTGTCTTGTGAAGATTAGTGAAGACGATTGAAAATCATGTTTGATAGGTCGTGACTTTACTCCCTTGAGCAAGGAGGTTTCCACGTAAACTGCCTGTGTTGTGTTCTTCATATTATTTAATCTTCTGCACTGTTCTTGTTGTGTCAACCTGGTCCATTAACTGATAGTGGACGCCTACATTCCAAAAAGTGGTATCAAAGCAGGTGATCTCTTGCTGGTTAACACCAAAAGAGATTCGTGTGAAAATATGGTTGCTCCACTCAATAGAAATTAAGAAGCATCAAAGAAGGAGTTGAAGAAAGAGAAGTCTCTATCTATCAAGATGATATCTGTTGAAACTTTTGATGATGATAAGGACATGACATGCCTCACGAGAAGGTATCAAAAAGGGGAAAGGAAACATAGAGGCTTACAAAAGGCAGAAAACTCAAACAGAGCTATAAATGCAAACCACCTGTGCCACAAGTGCGAAAAGCCAGGGCATTTCATCAGAGATTGTCCCATGCATAATTTTGAAGTAAAAACCTATCAAAGACCTGGAGTAGAGAAAGACAAAAATAGGGACCTTGTCCCTGATAAGAAAGCAAGAAAAGTTGAAGTTGGCTACATCATGAAGAAAGCTTTTGATGTATGGGGAAACTCGTCAAGTGACTCAGATGAATCAGAATGTCATGTTTGTGTTTGATGCCATATTTGCTTTGATGGAAAAATTTGATTATGAGGAAGATGAAGAAGAAGTAATCATTTTCGATCTTAAACAAAACTTGCATGTTTACTTTGTTAAGAAGTTGAGAATTCTAGCTACTGTTTTGATTGACTCTATCATTGAGTCACAACTGAAAAAGAGTTGATGAATAATAGCCTAGATATTCTTCATAAAGAAAAGGTAGCTTTGGTTGACCAAATGTCTTTTGTGTAAGAAAATGTGATAGTTCTAGAAGTTGAAAATGTAGAACTCAAGAAGAGATTGAAGATGTTGAGTGAGAAATCTGGCAAAGGAAAAGAAGAGGCTAGTAGTATGCAAATGGACCTAGAAACTAGTATGAACACCGCTGAAACAAAACTTGCTATGGCCTTGAAGGGAAATAATCAGTTGGAGACGAACCTGATCCGCATCAAAGAAGAACTGAACAAAATCTCTTAAATGGTCCACATCTTCAAAATTGTTTGCCAATCATCCCATTCAAAAATGTGTTTGTGTCTGACAAATTGTTGTGCTTTCATTGTGGTCGTGATGGTCATTTGAATAAGGATTGTCCTTCTTGTAAAAAGACTCAAGATAACCTCGCAAAATCTTCTGAACAGAGGAACAAGAAAAGGAAGGGACCTGATCAACAGAGCAACAAGCAGAAGAAGGGACCTGGTCAACAGAAGAACTTAGAGTATAAGGGACCTGGTCATGCTAATCAATAGAAGAATTTTCAAAAGAAGGGACCTGGTCGTGCTTTTGTTCCTAAGTTGAAACAAATCAATCTGCCTCGCCGGACAAATAATTATCTTATCACTCCTTCAACTGCTTACTTGGAAATCCAACTAAAATAGGTTCCCAAAGCTAACAAGTGATATGGTATTCATGTGAGAAGAAGTAGTAGGAGTCAGTGTTGGTTCATGAATAGCGGATGCTCAAAGCACGCAGCTGGGAAGCTGAAAACTTCTTCTCTCTCGAGGCACTTCAAGGTGGAAGTGTCTTATTTTGCAATGGCGAAAAAGGTATGTTTTTTGTGAATTCATGATTGGAAAATCTATGAAGCATAATATTGAGGATGTTTACCATGTCAATGATAGAAGTAGAATTTTTAAGTGTTTCATAGATTTGTGATGAATGAAATAAAGTTCAGTGCTTGTCGAAAAATGGGTTGTCACAATCTTTCTCTCTCGGATGATCTTGATAGAAAAGAGATGCAAGAACATGTGTATTGATGATCTGATTACTATTCATTGTGACACTCTCACTTGCCTTGGTGCAGTTGAGGTATGACAAGAGAGACATGTTCTGGTGAACATTTCTTTACTACACAAACTTGTGTCAAAGGACTTGGTACCCAGTCTGCAGAAAATGAAATTTGTAGATGACAAAGGTTGTGGTGTTAATGTTAAAAAGAAGCAGCTCAGACCATCATTCTCAAGGATTTTTTGACTGAAGTGATGAATGTTACATGTTCTGTGATCAAAATGATGATATTGAGAAGCTTAATCTCAATGAAGTTTGTAAGATATTCTTCCTCTAGCAAAGCTTATCCGGTATATAAAAATGTATGCATTGACAAAGATGTTCATGAAATTCTTGATAAGCCTGGAAGAATCGAGAAGTTGCAAAAGAAAGATAATTTTTAGACGGCAGAGTTGCTTTAGATCAGAGAGACAGTATGAATTGTGAGCTTGCTGAAAAACATTCTCTTCATGAATCAAGTAACCTCAAGGAAGCTGATGCAGATGAAAAACCTGATGAGGGACCCGATCCTCTAGACAATGTTGTACAAAGATGATGCAGTTCAAACTGATAATGTGAGTGCTGAAGGTGAGAATGAAGAAGCTTATCAAGCTCAGTTTGCAAAAAGAAATGTATGACAACTGGATTTCCCAACAAGCTGATAGGTTGTCCAAGTTCCTCTTCAACAATGGCTTCAAGTGAGGTAAGTCAAAAACCCTCTCTTTGAATAGACTAGGAAAGGAGTTGCTGATCATTCAATTGTATATCGATGCATTCATTTCTGGAACTATCTTTTGAATTATTGTGTGAAGAGTTCGTCGCATTAATGGGTAGTCGATTCTAAATGAGCACGATGAGAGAATTCTTCTTAGAGCTACAAATTAAGCAAAACTAAAAAGGTACCATTGGTCGTCAAGAAAACTACATTTGTGAGCTGCTTAAATGGCGTAACATACTTCAAGTCAATACAATATTACAGAGGCGCAATGTCATCATGATGTTTTGCAAGCAAAGTGGAAGATTGAGTGTCTTGACAATCATTACTAAATTCCTAAGCTAGGACTAGTGTGTACTCAAAACTTAGCTGAAGAGAATAAGATCGCACAGCGTGATCAGGGCGACTGTTGTCTGAACAAAGAAAGGGACCTGGTACCAGTTTAAATAAGCTACTGAAAAGGTTTCATGTTATGGGTGTCTGGACAATTCATACTTTTTGGGCACTAACTTGAAGCTAAGTATTGCTGAATCGGGTTCAAAGACTCGACTCATGTACAAAGAAATCACCTTTGGAGGCTGCTAGTAGAATTCAAAGAATTTTGAAGAAGACAGGGGACCTGGTCATATTCTATCCAGCAGGAGACAGTTTGAGTTTGCGTACATGGTGATGCTGTGCTGGGTATCTAGTTGATTGAAAGAGTACCTAAGAAATGACTTCTGTTATAGGCTAATGTTTTACTCATGGGGAATTAAAATGCAATATTCATTTGCTCTTTTATCAATTGAGGCAGAGAATTTAGCAAGTGCAACTTGATGGGTTTAACTCTTGTGGATCAAGCAAATCTTAAAGTTGTTAAAAAGACCTGACTAAGATAATCAATCTGATGTTGGGAATGCTGAAACATTCTTGAATGGATCCTGTCTGAAGCAATCAAATCTTTCATGATTATGAAAATGGAGCAGGCATCCTTGATTTTCAGTTATGTTTGTTTTAGCAAGATCAGTTTCATACCTTTTGTAGGTATATATACATGAAAAAGGGGATGAAGGAAAAAGGAGGTCAGGACAGATCTAGGTCATGACATTCAAACTACAGAGAGGGACCTGTTCCTTTCTCGAATGTTAGCACTCTTATCATTGCAATTTGAATTATGCATGAGAACTATTTCAATTGCCACATGTCTTTCATTCTGGAATTTGGATCATCTTTTGAATACCAAAATGATACTTCCTCTCTCTTTCTTTATATTACATATTTCTTTCTATTTTCTAAAAAAATCAGTTTACCTTCAAATATCAGAGTTCATTTTTAAATAATCTTTTTTCCTCTCTCCAAACACACTTCAAGTTGTTAAACTCTTTGCTCTTACTGGAGATTTCTCTTATAAAGATGTTTTAAGTGTGAAGAGGACCAGTACCCCATGAAATATGAAGAAGTGGAAAAGAAGATGTTTGAAAAGGAAGAAGTTGATACTCTTAGAACTAAAAGTATTCTGTATAGGAAGGTGTCTGATTGTAAAAAAAAAAAGTTGGCCCTGAAGGTTCAACATACAGGTTCGGTTGCACAACATGCTGAACGTTAAGAGAAGATTATGAAAATCTTATGCTAGGGGATATTCTCTATTTATTCTATTCTTTCAATCCTTTGCCTCTAAATCATCCCTAATCTTCATACCTCTCTATGTCAGTCCTCATTTCTCTTTTTGGTCATTGTTCTAGTTTTCATTTGTAATCATACTTGCAATGCTTTGATAGTTGATCTTTTGTTTATGAATGTTAAATGTCTTATTTCTATTGACTTGTCTTATTGCTTTATGCCTTTTTACTCACGCTCAGTGTTGACCAAGTGTCCATGAATTTGCAAGAACTATATTTCTGTCAACTTAGTTTACTGCTTTAACCCTTTTTTATTATGTCAAATGGGGGAAAGTTGTTAAGGTAGGGTATGAGATCAATAATTTATAACTGCTTGAAGAAGACATGGTCACATCGATAAGGGGAATCAATGGTAGCTACTTGAACAGATAGGTCATACTGATAGGGGGAATAAATGCTTTCTGCTTGCTACCTGACGAGGACGTGGTCTTGTCGATAGGGGGAAGATGTTTGTCATCATCAAAAAGTTGGAAAATGATATGTTGATATTTTGATGATTTGACAAACTTCGGGGATGATTAAAATCTAGTTACCCTAAGAATTCTTGTTGATAGGGGGAACTAATGAATATGTTTGTCAACATCAAAAAGAGGGAAAAAGCAATAATGATGTTTTGATGATTTGACAAACTTTGGGGATGATTCAACTCCAGTTACCCCAAAAGTTCTTTTTGATAGGAGTAACTAGTGAATAAGTATGTTATCATCAAAAAGGGGGGAAATTTTAGTTCGAAGCTGAGTGAGATGATAGATCGAACTTGATATGAAGTTTTGATGATTTAACAAACTTATTGATCTAACAATGAACCATATCCTTTTTATTGGAACTGCTGACAGTGATATGAATGATAAACTCAGTGTGAGGTATATTTGTGGGCTATCATCAAAAAGGGGAAAAATGTTATATTCTAGGTGTTTCGATGATCTTCACAAATGCGGGTCCCTGGTCCCTGGTAAAGTGCTCTCGTCCATATACAAATGAGGTACAACTGTAAAAGTTGTCTTGTGACGTGGTAGGTGAAAAGTGCAGTGTCCTACACCAATACGAAGAGCAGATGAGATTGTATGTTTCATTATCTCACAAATGATGGGACCTGGTCCCAAGCAGAGTTTCCTCCATCAAATACATAATTGGTTACAATTCTAAAACTTTCATGTCAGAGGTTGGTGAGGCGTCAGAGTACTAAACCAATTAGAATGGAGGAGGCTTTTTGTCTAATGGATAATAACTCTTTATGTTTGATATAATTAGCATGACAAACACCATATTATATTCATTCATCCAAAAAAGGAAGTCAGCCAACAAGCCTATTCAAGATCTCACGAAGAAGTTTGCATAGGACCTGGTCCCCGCAAGACTGTAACGTGAAAAGGTAAAAAGAAAGCTATCAAAAAAGCTGCCACCTCTGATGTGGTAGGTGCACAACTTTTACAACAGCAGGTCTTCAACCAATGGAATGACTTCAACGAATTTGTGGGAAATTATATTATCTCTTTCCAACAAACACAAATTCAAGTTTTGGCAAACAAAGTTTTGGATTTCAGAAAATCCAAACTACTCAAAAAAGCAAAGGCCATCTTCAAGAAGGATCATCCTAAGAGAAACAGAGACATGATTGAGATGCAAGCTACCTAGTTGTCTTAGGATTATTTCTTCCATGCTTACATTGTAAATCTGTTCCTAATCTATAAAGAATTCAGATACCTTGGTTTGTTGAAAAGTCAAGTTAGTTGAGTCAAACTAATTTAGTGGGCAACCTTGTGTGTTGCTTAGTAAAATCCTAAGTTATCCGAAGTGTGGTGATTTAGTGGGCAACCTGTGTGTTGCTTGCTTAGTTGAGTCCTAAGTTGTCTAGTGGTGATAGCTTAGTTGGCAGAGTGACATCTGCTTAGGCTCTTCAAACATTAGAGTTATTGCTTGGTTGTGAGATTAATAGATTTTTCTCACGTTGTTGTTATGGGGTTTCACTTTTGCTTGTGAAGATTAGTGAAAACGTTTGAAAATCTTGTGTGACAAGTCATGGTTTTACTCTCTTGAGCAAGGAGGTTTCTACGTAAACTGCCTGTGTTGTGTTCTTCATATTATTTAATCTTCTGCACTATTCTTGTTG